GGATAGAAAAGCCTGAATTATGCACACAGGAGAAACTTCTCCACCCCCTCCTACTACCGTGGGTTTAATTTCAAGTTCATCTGCCATCAACATTTTGTTATCAAATTTTTTTGCAATATTCGTATAATAATTTTTAGTAACTAACCCATTCAATCTTTTCACCTATTATCTAGTTTATTTTCATAATTGTCTCCATACTCCTTCACGAACATCTAATCTTTCTAAACATGTCTATATTACGTAACCCTACTCACATCTTACCAATCCCCACCCCACTTAGTTACAACTTTGATTATTAAAAAAAAATAAAATAAAAAATTTTGATTTTGACAAACCTTATGTACACACACACACACACACACAATTAATTGTATATATTACGACTGTACAGCTAAGAGAATGAATTCGCTGAAGAGACTCTTCGCTGAACTAATTTGTTCTTATTTCAATGTCTTAATGGGTACTTTTCGCGTATATAAGTTTGATCAAGTATCGATGTCAGCCAGAGAACCATTGAATACCAGGGAGTATCGAACAGTTGTCTCTTTCTAGTTTGGCACTGTTTAACAGTACGACCCCACCGGGGATCAAGACCAAGCTTGTCGATCATTCAGCCACTTAGGCCGGAATCACTTGGCCCATGAATTCTAACCCGTGTTAAATCGCGATTTTAAAATGACTGCCAACCAATAGCATCAGGAAGTATTTGTCCCCACACTCGACCCAGTGGATCTCACTTCTCACTAGAACTCCAGACAAGTATGTTCTGTAGCCAGTTACTAGAGAGCATCAGATTGATCTTCAAGAGTTAGTTTGCCGGGATTCGATTTGTTTCGGAGTTGATCTGATTGGCATCAATCCACGAAACAACTGTTCAGTATACACTCTGGTCTTCGATGGTTCTCTAACTGATATCAATCCGTGATCAAACTTGAAACAAATCAACTCCCAACGTAGTAACTCATGAAAATTAAAATATTTGGTCAAAAATCGCCGTTGTCCATCAAGAGTCTACGGCTGAAACACAACTCAGTAGGCCTAAATATTTAACTTACAAGTATACCAGATTTAGTGCTTTACTCATATTCATGCGTTGGCCTGTATATATTTCAGTGCACAGATTTGCTTATCTCTACTTACTCTACTTTTTATTTCTTAACGTCACCACTCATGAGATAAAGGAACAAAATCCGGAAATAAACAAGAGAAAACCGATTAAGCAAACCCAAACATATACCCAGTGAATTTTAAAATTGGACTAAGTCCCACCCCTTGTTTCAAAAGCTTTGTATTTGTGACAAATGTTACCTACCAGTTGCCCAGTTACACATAACAATACAGGAATTAATAGTAAGTGAGATCCATCTTACTCATATTTGCCTATATCATCGAATAGTCTATTAACCATGAAACGTTGAGGAGTTAAATCTAGTATTGTTTTGATTTATCGGTAATATTTTGCTGGTAAAGCATGATGGCATCACAATAGGACTGGATATCGATCTATATTTTCAGACTCGAATATTTATGGCATACTAAGCTGGAATAGTGTTGCGCTGCGTTTCAGGAACACAACTTGATGAGATGTTAGTCACTAGCCGCTATTAAACCAAGATAACTGCAATTATTATAACAGCACATTATGATTCTTACGACATGGTCATTTAAGAAGCCGAATCTATGAATTTTCTAAAGGGTTAGTCTGAATCATGTTGACAGATAAAGATTGTGGCTGAAGTCTTCTGAAAGATCTTGATAACAAATCAGAGTTGTTCACTGTACCTACAGTTTGTCCATCTTGTTTTTTTCTAGTATATTAGCCTTTTTCTCATGACAATCACATATCATAAAAAAATAATCGAGCAAAAGATATTCTTTTCGATAAATTCCACTTCCGGCTCTACAATTATATATATGCTTATATAAACAGAATATTCTAAATTAGTAGTTAATAACAATATTAGTGTTTTTTAAATAATATCGATTCGTAAAGTATGATCAATGCAATTACAGTTCATTAAAGGTGCTTAAATAATAATAATAATAGTACAAATATAATAGCGAATAGAATATCAACTAAAATTAGGGAAATTGCACAAAAATTCAGGACTATTCAAACCTAGATGGCCAAGGTAATGATAATGTATGAACTAACTTCTTTTGGATGCATAAATTAGGCTTGTTGATATGGATCCCAACAGCCAGCCTCAGCAGTATTTAGTAGTCGAACTCTCAAGGTAAAATTGAGATTCGTAAGTATGCGGTAAATGACCCTGAAAGCATGGTCAACGTCAATCTTGTGTTTTGTTTCTACGAGATGAGACAGAATAGCGCTGCGAATAGATTTTGTTTGCCCTTTGCTTAACCACGCAGGATGATGTTCGGAAATTCAACGAGAAACACGCCTAATTATACGGCCTATGTGACTGGCTCCACAGGAGCAGTTAAATTAGTATATACACATGGAAGAGGCGAAATCAGGCAGTTTGTCTTTTATTCCCGAACACAGAAGAGGAGTGGTTTTAAAGATACAGAGTAATTCAGCAGCAGGGAATGCTCTTTTTACCGCATTTCTAAGATGCTGTGTTAGTATCTCGCTGGTGTTGTCCCCAAGGAACTGCATCTGTAAGAATAAGGCCTTTTTGGAACTGTTGGTAACTTCGGCTGCTTTGGTTTCAAATTCATATTCTTATCAATAAACTTTTCAGGATAACCATTTTCACTTAGCAACCGTTTAATATTGTTAAATTCCTCATCAAGACATTCGTCCGAGCAAATCTCTCTCGCTCTCTGGACCAAGCACTTTATTAGATTGCGTTTGTATTTCAAGGGCACAAAGCTGAGAAAATGTGTGTACTGGCCCGTTGATGTAGGTTTTCTATAAACACTTCTTATTGTGCCATCTTCTTTTCTGGTCATAGGATCATATATATATATATTGAAATCACATATCAAACTACTTCTTTTTCGATTGTTGTTTTTGTTGTTGTGATGTGTTCCGCAACTTGAATCGATTTACTTCTCTACACAGTTTCACACTAATTAATCACTCGGTAATTGTCACTAAACTTTGCACTGCTAGTTAAGCAGACTAGGATTATAAAGGCTATGAACAGCACATAGCTTCTAATCATTTTGTGTTATAAGATACCTCCAAGAACCTATTTTAATAAAGTCAACATTTCCATACAAATGGGACACCGCTTTTAAAACACATAACAGTGTGATCAGTATTCTATTAAGATAAACAAAATAGAACAAAAATACTTACCAGTTTCTAAGAAATATGGATAATGAGTATAATTTTGATACTCAACACCTTTCAGTAGTTGGGAAATAATAACATCCGTAACAAGATCTGGATAAAATTCAGCCAATTGACCAATTAAACGTATTGCTCCATCAGCTTGTTCCCAAGGTTCACTAGGACGTTGATTTAAACCATCATGACAACCACCACCTTTCCGACCTAAAATGTTCATCGGGTTAAAAAAAAAATAGCAAACTATATGAAGATATTTTGAACTAGTAGGCTTACAACACGTGTTAGGAGTAAAGTAAGATAAGTAACGAATGAAATATCATTTGATGAAAAGAATAAACGAACTAAACAAATAAGCCAGTAGGATTTAGAAGTTTTTTCCACACTACCAAATAAAATCAACCCATATTTCTACTTTTGTATGATTTGAAATACACATTATTATGTTCATACTTATTTGGAAAGCATAAACTGAGCAATAAGTGTAATGGACTTAGTTTCCATATGCTGTACTTATATCTTCCTGGTCGTTTATTTTGTGTACTTTCTCTAGTGCGTCGGTGGCACAGTGGTTAGGACTCTCGCCGACCATGCACATGGTCCGAGGCTCGATCCCCTGCCGACGCACACCTGATATCAATGGTCGGCCTGCAAAATTTGGGCTACCGATATCACATGCTGAAAATTCCATACTTGTACCGCAAATACGGTGTGGAATCAAGCTGTAATCAAAAATAAATAAATAGATGAATAGTGGCGCTTTACTTGCAAGTAAGAATTACATTTCAGTGGCAAAGTGACAATAAACGCTAAATATAGTAACTAACGCTGGCATAAGAAACTATTTCACCTATGAAAAAGATTATATGCAACGAATGGTGAAGATTATCAGAGAGAAATACGAGTATCCGAGTTCAGCATCACTGTAGTAGTATAGTACTTCTTTACATAATAACTTTATACTCAAATAATTAGGCCTCACCTCATATTAAAGAACATAAGCGCATTGATGAGCTGCTACCATAAGAATTCGAAGACTTATAGCTGTCTGTACACTTAAATAACTTTGAGACTAAAACAACTACATGACAATTTTACAAGGTTATTTTACAAGTTATAATACAAAAACTAAATGACATAAGCAAGGAATCATCAAGTTATCGTTTAAAAGACGATTCCTGAATATTATGCAAAGTGGACGGTGATCAGTTGATCACCACCCAATGGGTTTTTTCTTTTTCCCGACCGATAGCTGCCACCTTGACGTGGTGGCCGGGCATGCACATCGAAATGATCCAACAAGCTACACTGGCTGGAACCAATGTTTCTGCAGGTCGTACGATGCCAGGAAGGGTTGTTAGGATAGCGATTAGACTAGAAGCAGTTACCGATATTGTGTAGGAATCTTTCTTTCACTATGCTGGGGGTCTTAGGGCAAAGTCGTACTACTAGGGAACAGGGATGTAACAGCAGTAAGGTGTTTCCCTCAGATGGCCAGCATGCCAGCTATGCTGTCTCTCCACTCCGGAGAGAGGGGCTTAGAAAACGTCGACCCAAAAAATTGTACATCCCGACTTACCCTACGGTGGCCCATAACCGGTGGTAAGTTTACTAATACAGAACCAGAAACCAGTTCATACAGGCCGTGTGTGACCGGCCTCACGCAGCTGTCCCCTGGGCTCTGCGGTCACGCAACACTTTCTGTTTCAGGTACTCGAAGAATCAATCAACTTTCACGGTGTGGGCAGCCGGGAAGTAACAACCGCCCACACACACTTCCAAAAGCACACGAAGCCTTCCTGGTTTTCTTTTAACGCCTAAGATGACAGTACTCTATGAGGAGAAATTTGAATGCTCCTGAAAGGAATCTAATTTTCTTTAGGTTGAAAACACGCCTTGTTGGGGACAACCAGTATACCAATCGCATAAGATTGCTTAAAAGTGCATTACATTGTTCAACATCGGTTGCATTTCAGTGATTAACCAAATAAATGAGATTCAAACCATACATTTCAAATAACTGTCAAAAAATGAATTGCTGGTTGCAAAGTACTCAAAATCACCAAAAAATATAGTGTAGCCGGTAGTTCACCCGGAAAAGACTTAAGAGTGAGCGTAAGGCTGGCAATCCTAGCCAGAAGAACAACATTTCCACAAGTGAATCTTCAAAGCTTGAGGCCCTTTATTCTTTTCAGAATGCGAGGTATGATAAAAAAGGTATTTCGACATAGAGGTCTTCCAATACTTAGGTGTACCTACCTGAGAATGGCAGAAACTATAAGTTGAACTTTAAAGACCACCCGCCTCCCGTTTGATGAATTCAGCATAACACAGCAGTCTTCATATCGCCTTTACGGATAGGAGGAAAGTCAAAATAGGTGAGGAGAAAAGAATATCGCATTAAGTCAGGCAATTGCCTGCATGCAGATTGTACAACTACAGCTTAAGGTGATATCAGAGTTGAAAAAAATCGAGTGTTACACAGCTCTTTCATGTCTTCTACCACTATGAGACAAGAATGAGGAAAGCATGCTAAATGTATCTGTTCAAGTGAGTCGCATAATCATGGTTTTGTTTTTTGCCTTTCCCTGGATGTTTTTTATATTTTGTGCTGTACAGGATAAAGCGTAAAAACACACAAAAGACCTCAACAAGTGTAATTTACTGGAACTAAAATCAAGGATGAATAGTTTGAAAGACAACGAATAAAGTGAAAATTCACTTGCCTTTTTGCAATTTAGGTGCCAGTGACCCACAAGAATACATGACTTGATTAGTATGACGACTGTCATGAGCAGCATCTCCACTATGGACAGTGACATGAGAAGCACCAGGTCCTTTGCCAGATAGACGACGAGACTCTGCACCATGAGATTCCTTAGGCTGCTTGCTTAGACCATCGATTTTCTCACTAATATAATTGATATACAGCTTAAAAAAGAAGTTTGAAAAGTTTAATATATAAGTGGTGTTTAAATAGAATAAAAAATTACTTGACACACAAACACGTTACATTCACAGAAACACTAACAATACAGCTAACTATTTGGCATTTTCTCATGTTAAGTGACACAGAATATGCATGGAATTTATGGAATTTGCTAAGCATAAGATATTTAACTCATTAAAGAAATTTCTAAATACTAGTCACTACCAAAAAGCAGTTTGTCAGCGTTTCCCTTATTCCAAACTTCTCACCTTTTCCAGACTATACAGATTTTTTCCTTTTGACGGATGAAATTAAAACTCTTGTGAAATTTATGATCGCTGTTTAAAAAGCCAAAAAACATGGTAGACAAACGCATTTACAAATTTAAGCTTTATTCATTATATTTATTATTATTGTTGTTCCCTTGGGTTCCTAGTGGAACATAGGGCTTCAACTGCACATCTCCACTTGCGTCTGTCTTCCTTCTGCTGTACTTTTCACCTGCATCCATGTTAGTCCATACTGTTTCAACTCCACACCATTTTCTCCATGTCACCCTTGGACGTCCCACACGCCGCTTCCCTTTCGGCCTGGTTCCACTCGAGCAATGGCCTGACGCGCGCGCAATGTCACCCAGTGGCCTCCCCCGCGAGTGTGCAACCTATCTCCACTTTCTCCTGCATATTTGTTGGGCGATTGGTTCTTGCTTTGTTTGTTCCCATAGTTCCTTGTTGGTGATTCTTTCCGGTCCGGCCATCTCATCTTCAGTAAAGATCCAGCGAAGACAGTTGTTGATAAAGGTAACGTCTGCAACAGGCTGTTGGAAATATTCTTTGTGACCCGCCCGCTAAGTTTCTGATCCGCATAGAAGAGCTGACTGACTTGACGTTTGTATTGAAAATCCGACTGGATTTTGTCGTTGATGTTGGCTGAGTGACGAAGATTTCCAGATTGGTTTCAGTTGGTTGATGAATGTGTTTCTCGTCTTCCCGATTCTCGCTTGATTTGACATCCTAGTCCGTTCCGCCTGCCTGTAGTTGAGACGATGCTCCCTAGGTAAGTGAATGAAGTAATATCTTTCAAATCCCTCCCGTTGATGGTGATTGACGCTGGATGTTGTTGTTGTTGGTTGGTTGGTTATTTTCATAACCTCCATCTTGTTTATGTTCACCTAGAGTCCTGTCTTTGCTGCTTCTTCGACCAGTTTGTCGGTTTTCGATTGTAAGTCTTCGATTTTGTATGACGTCAAACATAAATCATTTGTGAAATCCAGGTCTTCTAGGTTCTTTACGTCGGTCCAGGATATTCCTGTCTTCTCGTTTCCCATTATATATATATATATATATATATATATATATATATATATATATATATACGTTGTGAGGTGATATTGACGAAAACATATAGTAAAATGATATCATGACAACGAAACTTACATTTGTTAAAGTCTGGTCATCATTGACTGACTTCAAAATTTGAGCAATAGATGCTGCAGCACCATGTCGTACAGAAGGAATACTGTCACCAAGATTACGCAAGAAGTATTCAGCCATTAAGTCGTTATGTCCAGCAGCTCGGGTTTCATTAGGAAAAATAGAAATTAAAGTGCCCAGTGCAACGCAAGCAGCGTCTCTTACTGGCCAACTTTCATCACCAAAGCATACCAATAGGGCATTTAAGAGTTTATCAACAAACGGAAGTAGTAATTGTGGATCCAGTTTCATTACAATTTCAGCCATAGAAGCACAAGCAGCTTCACGAACCTTGAGGTCGAAAAACAAAAACACACACAAGAGAAAATGATCACTAATCTTCACAACACTTAGTTAGCTACCAAATTTTTGGAGGACATACAACAAAATGAGTGGAAGTTTTTTAAATGCTGATGTTCCAATGAATATAGATACATGGAAATGGTAAGTCAACAATCCTTATCAAATTAAAATAAAACTAGGGGCAATACGAAGTTAATACCTAAAGATGCAAAATATTTGGTGCAAAAAGTTACCTACATATGCGGAGAAATAACACAATATTCCGTTCATCCATCTCAATAAATGGATTTGAATAAAGCAAGAAAAATAGTGGTTTGTGCAGAATAATATGGCAAGATCATTTATTTCGTTGGCTTCGCATCAGCTACTGCTTACAGCCTAAATAAATTATGAGGTTTACGTACAGAAAAGTTTTAACATAATTGAAAATTTTTCATGGTATCAGTTGACAGAAGGTTCCACAATTAGTGAACAGTGCTCAGAAAACTGCGCTTACATGGTTTTTACACAAGCAGTTCAAGTCTAAACAAAATAAATGTATGGATACAATGATAAAGGAGTTACCTAATAAAGACGAAATATGCGTTAGATACAGAGTGACTAATAAATTAGGTAACAATGTCCTGAGTTCAACTCAAATCATAGAGACAAGAAACAAGCAAAATTACAGATTATAAAACGGGGTGAGGTTAAAGGCAAAGATTACGTAATCGGATGAGAAAATAAAGACATTCAGTTCTCTCATCTGATTACGTAATCTTGTTGTTGTTCTTTATTCAAATTCATCAAGGGGAATAAATGCATGAAATTTCAATAAATGGATCTGGTGTGCTTCTCCCCTAATAACAATGTCTAAAATTCATCAAATTCGAGTTCATGATACTAATACTATAAGTGTTCAACTAACTTGTGGATACGCCTTAGGAATAAAAAGTAGTACGTTACTGCTGAACATTTTGTATATGGGTCAGTCAGGATGTTTGTATGGAAATAATTTGTCACAAGATGCTGGAATTCATTCATTGGTTCATAACACTAACGACCGGTGATAGCTGACATTGAAATATGAAAATTAGATGTTAGATCTGTGAGAATTTTATGAATCTGAAAGCAGATTTCACTAAAAAACAGACACCGGTTAGAAAACTATTGAAACTACAGAGAGCACTGAACACCTCTTATGTTTTGATTTGAAACTCTTCCACAATGAGCACCAACGACCCCACTAAAGGAACAAAATACAAGTCACTAGATTTGAATCCATTTTTTTTATTTTTTTAAGTCCTATAGCTTAGGTGCAACTGAAAGTCAACCTGACTAGCTAAGATTTCTCACCCTATTCGAATCTAGTTCCTGATAAACAGATGTTGTATGTAAATATTTGATTGACTCCAAGGTATATATTTCATCGAGAACTAAGGTAACCCAGAAAACCACCGAAAAAGAAGGAGTACTCAGTATGCACTTCCGAGAAGTTCAAGACTGGAATGAAACGATCTTCTAGGCTTCCATGGTTTCTAGTAATACTTTCATAAGTGTCAGGTCATGATGAAAGTATAATAAGCTAAAGATGGTAATATTTGTCGATAATAGCTATTTATACAGAGTTGAGCTGTCCAAAAAGCAAAAAAGCTATAAAACACAATCTTGGACGCACCTTTTCCCTTCTTATTTTTATTTCTGTCTCTCTTTCTATAATCTGCTGAATGAACAGACATGAAGTGTGACAGCGTAAACTACAATGCAATAGCTTAATGTTTCATGCTGATGTGCATCTATCTGCTAATCAAGATAACTCACTGGTTGTTTATGAAACAACATACTATCTGCCTTTTCGATATTTTAGTAAGTGTTTTCATAATAGCATACCAGAAAACCCTTACAATGTTATAATACACAAATAAGGGTAGTGAAGAAGATCTGCTTCATATCCTTTTCCTGAAAGTTTCTATCGATGGTTACCAAAATAATCAATAACTTTAGACATTATTCATTATAGGGGCTTTAACAAGATATCACCACAATATCCGGCATGTTTAGCAAAAGGATAATGCAAGACAGTCACTAGCTCAATTCTTGAGGACTTGGTGAACTCATGCCACGCAGCTTCACCAGGGTTGTCTTTCAAGATCATCTACAAGGTGAGGCCGAATGGTACAAAGGGCATCAGGTTTCGGCTTTTGTGTAACGCGGAGGAGCTGGCAATTCGTCAATACAACCCCAAACTCTGTATACAGAAAAAGTTTGTCCAGTCTCTTATTCTACCTTGGTCTTAACCTCTTCACTAGTCGTTCCTGTAAAAAATTTTAATTTTTTAATTTTCAGTTTTATCACCCTCAAATGTCCTTTTTGTACATTTTCACACTCTCTTCACACTTGTTAAATTGACACTTAACTGCCTTTATTCTCACTCCAATAGCAACTTTAACCTTATCAAATTTCTATCTTTGTGCCGTTGCGTAACACGTAATTCACAACTTTTATTTTTTACTTATAAAGCCACTTCTGAGTAATTATATCAATTATGTCACCTGTTATTACTAAATAACAGATTACTATACATTTTTGGTAAATATACATACGACTGTACAGCCTTTGAAGATGTTTTCGCCGATAAAGAAAATCTTCTTTGCTGGATTTATCCTTTATTTTCTTCACATTTGTGTTAAAAGTTCGAATCTTGTTCTTTATACCGGCTGAGGCAGTGCAGATGATTTCCAAACTGGTTTCAGGTTGATGAGTGTCTTGTATCCGCATACACCATCCACACGTGAAATCCAGATCTTCTAGAGTCTTCTTATCGGTCGGTCCAACCTGTCTTCTCACTCCCCACAATCTGACGCATAATCCAGTCCACCACAAATTTCATTCATATTCATTGCAGCAGTGGGAACGTGGAGACGTAAATCGAGGACTGTCAGTAACTAAACTGTTATAGAAAGTGTTTGCTTTAGCATAGAAATCTGAATCTATTTTACACTAGATCGTTATGTTCGCACCTCTGATAAAAACTTAACAGCTCCGTTAAAATATGTTATTTAAAAAAATTGCCAGTTACTTACTGCATGATTATCAGCATCACTTTGCTTAATATAGTAGTCAACAGCTGGAGACAAAAACTGACCAAGCAGCTTCCGACCTTCTCCCTGGGTTACACGACACCATGTATCCTGACTGTAGATTCGAACACCTTCGGCGACGTAATATCTATTCAAACACATAGCCGGCAAAAGTATAGGATAGACGTCGTCTCTTGAATACCCAGGAGGTGGATTAACCTCGAAAAATGTTCGCACTGCTCTTGAAGCGGCCATTCGAACCTGTAATTGTATAAATTAATCAGTATAGTAGGTGGGAAAATAACCAGTTTTTTCATTTGTTGACAATTTGTCATTTACAAAAACAGTATCAGAGTTGACATGCTTCTTAAATACAGCCAGCACATCATACCAATCTCCGCAAAAAAGAAAAACATTCCCTTCGGAAATAATATCTCACAGAGATGTCGCAAAATTTCAGTTTAGTAGTTTGTAATCCCTATCACTGAAATCCGACAATGAACAAAGCTAAAATCACTAAGCAAACCAGCAAATAACTTGAAGCGTCTTTAACAATCACAAAGACTGTTGACTAACTGAACGAGCATGAAAGCAGTTGATGATTATTAGGTTTGAAATGATAGTGTTAAATTTCGCATAAAATATAAGGTATAAGTGAGTCTGCTCCATAAAACGCCTATTGCAAACCACGCTCCCCAATGTTTTCACAAACTTATTGTTCTGGCTTTGCAGATACTAAAGTTTCTCGACAGTGATACTGAAGTGAATCTTTAATGTAGAACTTCGCTCAAAAAATGCAGCAGTTCAAGTTAGTACACTCCAAATAACAAACATAAAGATAGAGAAAAAAAGACAAAGAAACTATAATGGATGGAGAAGAAAATTACGTGAATAGTAATGGAAGTTTAATGGATTCAGATCACAAGAGGTGAGTGTACCAATGACAATGATTCTGAACCACATCACTAACAGTCTCCAGACAATAGTTCTTAACTCCTCGAAGATGTCAGCCATACAGTCTATTATTTAGTTTTTCGATACCAATAAATTATGTTTTGTTTGGACTTAGTTACCCGAAATAGATATTTGATGTACCAGGCTATGACGTTTACACATGACGGCTGATAATACTACTTTTTTGGTTGCAGCTTCATCCCGCACTGTGTTTTAGGTACAAGTATGGAATTTTTTCAGCATGCGATATCGGTAGCCCAAATTTTGCAGGCCGACCATTGATATCAGGTGTGCGTCGGCAGGGGATCGAGCCTCGGTCGATGTGCATGGTCGGAGAGAGTCCAAACCACTGTGCCACCGACGCACACAGTCCAGGTTGAAATAGGTAGGATGAGACTTGAACCCTGGACCCATTGGCTATAAATCAGGTGCTAAGTCAACAAGCCACACCTCCACTCGATTAAATTTATCCGTTAGCGACCTTAAAGTTTGGTCCACCATCAGAAACGTACCCACGGATGATTTGAATTTGAAACCCAAATAACCAGTAAGATTTTAATACCTACAGTCCACAAACAACTAGAAATCCTCACTTGATAAGTCCATAACTAACAGGTTTATTGTGAGCACAGTTCACAACAAAAAAGAAACCGAAGTTTTACTGACCACCGTGAGTAGCTACAGACTGTCTCCTTCAAACAGTTGAGATAATCCTACTAAGATAAGTTGTTTTTTTTTATTTATTCCTTCACGTTCCCAGTGGAACATACAGCTTCAAGCTAGAGCTAAGAAGTTTCTGTAGAAGTGTTTATTTTTACAGGATGGAGTTGCTAGCCTCATGCCCAATCTTTCCTCTTTACCAGCTTTTATTTTTGATTTGACGAAGTATTAAAGTGCGTCGGCGGGGGATGGAACCCCGGACCATGTGCATGAATGAATTCCGATTAAAATAAAATAACCACCTAGGTTTAGATGTAGGTGATGTGTCTAGTTGCTGCAGCCTTCAACTTTGAACCGATAGGTTTCGCCCATCCACTCACAACTGGATGACTGGATAGTATAACAAGCCCTCAATTAATGTGTGACTTACAGTCTAATAAGGGTAAAAATCAAATGGTTGTATTATTTAGAGGTGTATTTTCTTATCATCAATATTACTGTTAACCTTTAATTATCCTAGTATTTGAATGGTGCAGTTAGAGAAACTCTTTACAAATACGTCTTTTCACCTTTTACACACTAAATAAACATCTCTTACAGTTTTTCAAACTGTATTTTACTCTAAAGACCAGGGATAACAAACATAGTATTCGTAGAAGTATTTTCAACAATTAGTTATCTATAAATGTGCGTCGGTGGCATAGCGGTTGCGACACTCGTCGACCATGCACATGGTCCGGGGTTCGATCCCCGGCCGACGAACCCCTTTACCTCGCTGAGCCAGAAATACATCTGGTAAAGAGGAAAGGTTGGGCATGAGGCTAGCAATCCCATCCTGTAAAATAAACACTGCTACAGAAACTTCAAGACACTAGCTTGAAGCTGTATGTTCCACTGGGGAACTTGAAGGGAAAAAAAAGTTATCTATAAATAATGCAGATATCGAGAGAAGTTGGGAACATATAATGACCAAACTAACCCAGTTGTAGCCATCCAGGCATAAAATATAGACTCATTTCCGAACACTACTTTGAGCATGCTATGAGGAAGACTATGCACAATAACGTGTCAGTATCGTAGTCTAACAAGACAATGAGAACCAGTTATATTCTGCTGATTACAGGAAGTTCACACACAATAATCCTTGGAAGAAATCCCTGTTGTGTATTACGTTCAATATACCTGATGTACACACCCATACCGAGATTTTTAACCTTATTTTTAAGGCATGACCAGATACTTTCTCCTCAGTTCAACGAAAAAGTAATAGCACACGTGTAGTATGACTGAAAGTTCGACAAAACTAACTGGGGCACGATGACAACTACTAATAAAGAAAAAAACATGAGTGAGGGATGGTATTTGCCTCCTGACTCAAACCCATGCAACGTGCCTTAGGTAAGTAACATAATTTCACACGGTAAAAGTTTGTAATATCTGCACTTACTTGGCTCCAATTATCTGATAAACCCTGGACCAACTGAGAAGCGACTTTGATATAGTTAGCCTCATTTGATTCGGGTCCTTTATAGCATACATTTCGTGAAATCATTGTGCACAACACATCATAGCCTGTTTCACGAACAAAGCGATTCACGTGTTGAACAGCTGTAAAGATTATCTCTACAATTTCAGTTCTATCCACTTTAACAAAGTCATCTGCTGGAAGGTTACACACCATTTCTTGCAAACATTTCATCCAGGTTTCCAGGTTTTTCCAGCCAGCGGTATCATGAAAAATAGACAAAGAACTCCTGCTTAGACCAACATCGCGTTCCTACAAAGCAATTTTATTCATGGAATAGGACGACAATTCACTTACTTTGGCCATATCCAGTTCTTTCATGGACAACTCAGCCTCAGAGACGGCAGCTTCGGTATTTCTTTCTAAATTAGTGATGATACCTTGAATCACAGCAGGTAAGTAGCGAAGAAATAGAGGTAATCCGGTGCGTAAGCAAAGAGAACCCATTAGCTGACCTGCAGCTATTCGAACACGAAACTCAATGTTCTCATGGCATTCAATCACCTGATTTTCTAACTTATTTATAAGGCCGATATCAACGAGCAAGTTATAATCCACATTACGAATCAGAATAATGGCTGCAGTGATCCCGCCAAATACCTAATTTAAAAAAATTAAATTCAGTAATGGCTTACATCTTCCCAGTTAGAAAGTCCTTCCAACTTTTCCTCTATCCAACAAGACACTAACTTCACCTCGTCAACACTCAGTGACATGGTATTCAAGCGTTCTTCCCCTTTTTCACGATCCAGCTTTTTAGGTGCGCACAACATCTCCAAAGTTGTGGAAAGGTCCACATCATCTTTTGGTTCCGTGACAACCATATCGGAATCCTTATTGGGCAAGATAAATCTAAGGAAAAAGAAAACAAACTATTTATTATTTTCACATGTAACTCCGATTTTAGGATCTCTACAACAACTGAGTGATGTCTCGTATACCAAACTAAGAAAAAGAACTTTGCAGAATATAATGACACAATTAGTGGTTATTATTATTGTTCCCTTGGGTTCCTAGTGGAACATAGGGCTTCAACTGCACGTCTCCACTTGCTTCTGTCTTCCTTCTGCTGTGCTTTTCACCTGCATCCATGTTAGTTAGTTAGTCAGTGGTTAAGGTCGTCTTAAAATGGCTCTACGAAATTTCGCAGTTCGTACGATTAACGCAATGCGCTGATTACACTTGCGACGCAGGTTGGTAAATGTCATACACACATTTGCATTCGGTCTACAGCATAGTCAAATAAAAGTGTACCATAGCTAAAAAAAAATCTCCATGTAACAAAAGTGATCAACATAACACAGTTCACACATAAATGTTAAGACATCTTCACGAGTAAAATAAAAAACGGAAAACATTGCGACAGACCACCGCAGCTCTCACGGGGCCCACAGTCATTGTACACCTACGTTAGTTGCTTATACATCGCAGAATGTTGAGAGGATTAACTGACGCCGTCACTTCACTGAATACCTTCCGATAACGGAGTGATGTACTACAACAGTATGCCGAGTTTGATCAAAAATGCTACAAGGCACCCACTCTCATTTCAGCTTGCCTACTTAGCAGTAAAAGCCAATGAGGTCAAAATCTGATTCAGCTGTAGCCAAAAAACAGAGCGGCAACCAGCTTAAGAATCGAGGCTTTGAGGGCAGAGCGATACCTTCTACAGTAAACTGTCGTACCCGAGCGAATATTTATTTTCGTATCGATAAAATATTTCCATGCTTGAGTTACCTCCCAACCATACGAACCTAAGGAACGACATGGAAAATAAACATAGGATGAAGTAATTTTATTTCCTCTTCCTATGAGATCCATTGTGCGTTTTTAGATCCTCAAACAGTCAAAATAAACAATCTTAGGAATTTAGGGAGCTTCAAGGGGAAACTTAGTAGGCAACATTAGGGGTTTTATGGATTTGGGGGAAACTGGAAGTAATTCCCCTAAATTCCCCCCGAAATTTTTATATTGGTTTGACACCAAAAACATTTTATTTGAGAGATGAAGAGGGGATGCCAAAGACATTTCCGGAAAATATTCAGACTGTTTGATTGAGGATAGACGGCTTGAAGCCTATGTTAATCCGTTTCTAGTAAATTTCTGTAGTTGTCCTAACCCTTCTTGAATGAATCAACTGAGGACGCTTACATTTCTTCTGGAAGTTCGTTCCAGGAGTTGATGACTCAGTGTAAGAGCCAGTACTACACAGGGATATTAGTTTTCCTTAGCTTGTGAACTCGTGCTGTCTTCTACGGTGTTCCGACCTGGTAGGGAGGAGAAGAGAAAATACATCAGGTCCGCAGTCATTATTCTAAATTTTAAACATTGTAGTAAGATCTCCCCTCTGTCTGCGGTATGACAAGGAGAAGAGATTCAAACGGTTTAATCCTCCCTCGTATGATAAATTGGTCATGCCAAGACACCTAGATCTATGAGTCCGAAATAATGGGCGTTATTTACAACGACACATGTGATTTGTTTTCCTATGAAAGGGAAGTCGATCGCTACAACAACACTAAAAAAGAGTAGAAAGACAAGCCGAACTTCTACGCTGCAGACTTAAATGTAAAGGCCAAGATATTAACCTTACTGCTGCATACCGCAGTCCTGAATGCGGTGAGGATGACTTCTTAGTAGAGAAGCTAGGCTCCTGGACATCGAAATGTAGAACTCTCGTAGTCGGCGACTTCAACGCCCCAATAGTTGACTGGGCAACCCTTACAACACCATATTCAGACAACTCCTTTGATCATAAACCGCTGGAATGTAACATTTCGCTAGACCTTGTCCAACATGTCATTAGGCCCACGCGCTATGACTCACAGCACTCCCCTTCAACTCTGGACCTAGTGTTCTCCCATGGTGAGGATTTGGATCTCATACAACATCTTCGTTCTCTAGGAATAAGTCATCACGCTGTGCTCACTTTAAAGTTCACAGCAACAGCATCATAGGCCAAAACCCCAGCTCGACCAAACGTTTGGAAAGCTGATATAAATGCGATCATCTCAGCAGCCAACTCAGTGAACTAGTACATCAACTCAGAGTCCCAAGGAGAAGCCACATGGAACCAATTTAAACTTTACGCTCAAGTAACTGAACCTTTCATCCCTTGGTGTGTCCCAAAGGGTCGAAAACATTGCCCCCTTGGATAAGCCGAGAGATTCGTAAGTTGCACAGAAGCAAACACAAATGTTGGAACCTGTTGGCCGCATTTGAGACTCTTGAGACCAGGAAATTATACAACACTGCTAGCAATAAAGCTATTGCAGAAATCCGCCAATCAAGGATGAAGTTCGAAGCACATCTGGCTCAAAGTGCAAAGGCACAACCTAAAAAAATTTCTCGTAAATGAACTTCAGGAATAAAACATCCAGTGGTGTCCCACACCTGACTATGGGCAATGACGCAATTGAAGATGATCAAGAAAAAGCAGAAGCAATGGTAGACTACTTCTCCCAAGCCTTTACACAGGCGTCGTCACTCCCTATAGGATCAGGTGTGGCTGCATCAGAGGAACACGGGATAGATTCCGTTGATCTCGACTAAGACCAAGGCTTCTGAAGGAGCTATCAGCTCCATATTAGTTTGTTTATTAAGAATATCACACAGTGAATGGAATTTTGTATTGATCATGATGTTGGATTTGGTGAAACAGAAGTTAAAAACTAAATCTAGGTGAAGCTTGCAAAGATTATTATGAACAGACTTCCTTTGTAATGCTCAGCGATCTGACTGAAGATCATTTGACTTTGGTGTCTGGTGTCTACTCTTGACGGGTTAACACAGGCTCCAAGCCTTTCATCCTCAACCAATAAATCTGTGTTACCTTCCTTTGAAGCCTTTATAGAATGAGTGCAGTTTATAAATAAGTAAGGCTGCCTGGGTAGTTGTCCCATCTTGACCTCACCAGACATGCATATAAGGAGGTTAACATATATTTTGTGATTCTAGCAAACTCTCTAAGTATTTCCGATAGAGATCTGAAACCGACATCTAGACCAATGGGTCCGATGTAATGAGTGTTATTTAAAACGACGGACGTGATTTGTTTCTCTATGCAAAGGAAATCGATCGCTACAACAATACTAAACAAGCATTGAAAGATAACATGCCAAGCCGAACGATAGTGGATAGCGGCACAAATGGCTTATGGAGAGGCTGAGCACTTGAAGGTCACTCACGCACGCTGTGATTGATAGAATTTCCTTTGCGTGAACGTTGCGGCTAATACGTGCCTTACGTTACTGAGGCGGGCTTTGAAATAGCAATAATAAAAGCGGATAGACATTATATTTTTAAGGTTAAGGGAACAAGTTAACATGCCTATAAATTCCACAGATGTGAGAAGCGGCAAAGTTTAAGAATGGAGTCCCAAGAGATGCGAACGCACAATGACCTTGAGCCGACCAATCAGAAAATAGGAGGGATTTTGCACAAAATTTAACGTATCTTTACACAAAAGTGCATGAAAAAAAACATTAAACGGATTATATTTCTCTGATATGACTTAAAAATACGTTCCAGTTGCGATGAAGAGTATCAGTTGCTAATTTGGACTAGTTTCTGTAGATGTATTCACCAAAGAGACTGAAGGTGTGCCGTTTTGGGAATGGTTCATCTCTCTTCTCTTGCTGTGTAGTCCTCTCCTCAGCCCTCGGTTTCGTTACTATGGTTCCAGTAAGAGCATTGGTGACTACATACAAGGGAAATAAGGATAACAAAAGAACTTGAAATAAACGAAAAATCTTTTCCTAATCGCTACCCTAACCCTAACCATAAACCCTAACCCTAAACCCTAACCATAACCCCAAAACCCTAACCCTAAACCATAACCCTAACCCTAACCATAACCCTAACCCTAAACCCTAACCCTAAAACCTAACCCTAACCATTGTGCCACCGACGCACACAATGACCGTAACCCTAACCACAATACTCTCCTTAACCCCTATCCTAACCCTAACGAGATGTTAACACATTGTCCAAACAGTAATAAAAGTGTTATCTGGGTGAAACTTGCTCCTTATTTGATGAATAGGGTTGATATTTCAGCTGTGATAATGACAGGAGCCGTTAGCCAACGACTAGCATGCGTTCAAGGTCATTTGAGCGTTGAAGGTTTTGGGACGCTATTCTTAAACTTCGCCTGAGAAGCATTAGATCCATTTGCAAGGAGAATATTACTGGGTGACTTAATCAAAGAAGTATAAAGTTCGCAGACTTTATCTCTTTCAGTTAGTTGCAACTAACTGTTACATGTAACGGATGGATAAGAGTCACTTGTATAATATTTGCTTTTTATCGAAGAGAAAGTTTGACAGGTGATTTGGGAGTTACAAAACTGAAATCTGTCGTGGAATATATGGACGACTAGTCTATAGAATTTCACCAACTCTGTGGTTGTTCCTTGCCTTGTTCTTATATTCGTTGTGGCTAAGATTAGGAATTGTTCACCAAAGGTAAGACTAATTTACCTGATATGTATACGTCCTCAGATATTTCTCAATACGCCCGAAGGCATTCGAAGGAATACAATCTCAATCTCCACTTGAAAAGTTCGCATCCAGTTTCTGCGAACGGATCTGGTGGTGACGAAAACTGCAAAGACTGGTCCAACACCACTAACAAAGAAGGCAAACTGACACAGATGTTGCGGATAGAGTGTTTGGTGGACTTTATGATGACTATAGTCATCATATATGATGCAGCTATAAAAAACTCTACAACTGCGATTTTTTTCACCGGATTGTTATTAACTCTTCTTAGTGTATATATGTACTCTTTCATTCTGAGTCATTCTTAACTTGACTGATTATTGTTTTCTTACAAATATATGCATTTTGTCGACTAACTTTGTCTCTTTTACTTATCATTTTGAGGACATTGCAGAGTTAACGAGAATGATAGGCAACGTATTAATACTTATGTGAAATGCGTCAGTCTTAAACTTATTATTTCCTCAATGCGTCATCAAGTCTTGCGTAAAGTGTTTCAGTTGTGTATAAGATTAATATTGAAGATTGTTTCGAAAGTAGCCGTCAAAAATGTGTTCGTACTGTAATAACGAAACATAACCTTGCAAACGTAGGTTCTATACGCACACGACTTGTATTGGTAGTCTAGGCACTTCAAGTACGCTATGCAACGTATATCGCATTTATCACAAATACTGTGTTATTCTTATTTTGCGTTTAACGCCACTATCTCAAAGAAAATCATTAGGTAATAAAGAGGAAACTACACCACACTTCTTGTGTTATCATTTCGTATCAAAAGGCTCTTACATGACCACATCAACACTAAATCTCATGCATTAGTTGACTGCGTCATTAAACTTCATTGATAATTTGTTATCATAAAATACTGTGACTCATTAGATAGGCTTTTGTTTTGCATGTCGCCTTTTTAAGATTTACTAGCGAAAGCAATTACTCAAAAGCGATAATAGTACCCCTTCGTGACCGAATTCGACGTGCAAATATGGCATTTTACGAATATTACGTCTTTTACACTGGCAACACTTTGAAACTCGACAAACAATAAGTATTCATAGTGCAAAATTTTTAAAACGATATTTATTTCGATAAATACAGTAGTAATATCACAAATATTTCATCATTTACATGAATATCATCGTTTTTAATCCCAATTAGAATATCTAAACGTATTGAATGATCGTTATCTGACGAAATAACCAATTCATTTTCCTTTATTACTGAGAAATTTGCAAATGATCACGAAATCATAAATACCTCCCCAGTCGGTTACTTTTTTTGGACCTGGAATATGTGGGTAAAAACGTGGGCAATTTTCCGTTCAAATGTGGGCAAAGTGGGATAAAGTGGGCTGTTTTCGTTTGTAACGTGGGTAAAGTGGGCAGAAGTGGGCTAGTTTGTCAAGTGACATGGGAAAAGTGGGCAAACGTGGGCAACTACTTTCTGGAGACGTGGGAAATGTGGGAAAATATGGGAAACAGGGGAAACATGGGAAGAATGGGGTGAATTTGTTTTTGTAGCGCAGTCATACTAAGATGGGGAATGCATAAGGTGAGGGACATTTCAGCTTGAATATTATACAATGCGTCTGTAATCACTGTGAATTGGCATGAAGACAAATGGTGACGATTTCATTTCCATTATTTTGACACGTTTGTTTATGTGAATTCAAACTGAAGTTTGACTTCCGAAGCCGCGATTTCAAATTCTTCGTCGTGCACCCCTGGAGTGAGGATATAGGCCGATACCAGGTGTTATCGCGCAATGCCATCGGTTACCGCGCTCACGTCAACAGACGTTATAATCACCTATTTTTGTTGGAAATATATTATTTTTGACTAGTTTTAGACTTCTGTAGCCGGATGGCAGTATTTTGCTGCATTTTGTTCTTAGTAGAGCGTAAAATTGTATATTATAGCTCGGACGAATTATCAATGAAGAAGTAATCCTTTTTAAGAGAGTTCGCATAGAAAGACTATTATTTGCATTATAGTGCGTTGAGGGTTTGTCTTTTTGCGAGCTGTTTCAGAATTAAGGTTGTAAATATACTGCAGGCAATGGCTGTTGTCATTCCAGCGAATCTATGAGAATCTGGCCTATGAAAGAGAAATAGCATGCAGACATAGGTTAGATGTGTGCTTTGAACATGCTAAACTTTTCTGTTGTCATCCGGGATGACTGAAATACTCATAACACAACTACGTTATGCGATGAATGAGATAGGCAGCTGAATTTCCTGGTGATTATATCTATTTTGATGAGGTTCCTAGTTAAAAGTGCTTTGGCGAAGATGTGGTAATAGTTTAATCGACATTTGCACATGAAATTTCACAAGGCCTTAATTGCTCAGTGCATGAAATGGCATCAGAGTATATTGATATCAGTGTTCATCGTGTCTCGAAGAATAGTATAAATAGTCCTTCTCAAATGTCAGAGTACTTAAAATGAGTATCAGATTTCTGTTGATAAGTCACTAGCACCTGTGTCATACAACTACTACACCTGTTACATAGGTTATATCAATCTTAATAATTATTTTGTTTCACATCACTAAGATATTCTGAGGTCCTTAATGACTTAATTGTGGCTATGAAAGATGTGGAAGATGCACTTATAGCTCATATATTTAAAGCAGTTATTATTAAACAAGTTATCTGTAAGCAACTTGTGATGTTCTGAATACTGCAAACTGTTGATAAGAAACTGCATCAAAGGAAAAAATGCCGAAAAGCTAGAAAATACAACTGCAGTTTCGTTGGTTATTACCTTTTGGATTTGTAGCTCATCCTTCCAGCGTTCGAAGGACATAGCGCTTAGCCAAATGTACAGTGTTCATTGTGAAGGGTTTACAATTTAACTGTTATCATAACCTTTTCTAATTACTCGTACAATAGTTGAACGACTTAAACTTTTGAAGATGCACTAATTTATGATACTTCACGATTGCAGTTTATAACGTAACTTATTGCGCCTGTAGAAATGACATGCATTCTTTGTAAACATTGGTTTATACGACATATGAAATTATTATTATATGCTTGCTGCTATCCTTTAGAAGATGAACAATGTGTGCGGCAGTGGAAACCGTAGAAGAATGCTGTCATGAACAAAGAATGAGAAAGGAGAATGAACCATTTTCAGCAAAGGTAGGCAAATCTGAAGTGTTTAACTCTGATATTACTGGTTTCTTACTTCAGTGATTTAAAAAACACTTTGTTTACTTTTTTGTAGGTATCCGGTAACGTAAGTCAACCCGGTCACATAGATCCGACATTGCCCAAATTATTACGACAAACAACTGCGTAAAGACATTTGCTTGTTATTATTTTTCGTTAAATACATTTAACATCCTGCTTACCAGACCTTTCTTATTCTATCCGAGCGTAGATATATTTGTCATGATGACTAGATGCAGGCATGACTTATTAATGATACCTGACGAAGTAATTGGTGGCATAATTTAGTGTAAGGTAAATGTAACTACGAGTGCTAAAGCTGAACGAATTCAATAATTTGTCTCGTGTAGACTTCAATTTACGCTACATGTTAACGCTTCAAGTGAAACATTAGTAATGCAATACTTTAGAATACACGTAACCGTTTAAGAACTGGAACTGGAGTGCAGTGCCTAAGTTATGCCTACTATTGTCATTTGTCCCTAAAGACTTCTATATGACTATGAGA